AGTGTAAAATTTACCTAACTAGGTTTTCAAATATTATTATTATTATTATATCAAATGGCAGGCGTCTTGATGGTTATCATTAGCCCTTTAGTTGACTTCAGGCTTCACAGAGAGGAAGGTACATCAAATTGAAAAAAGTCGAGAGGGGAGGGGGAACAGAAGAGTGTTTCAAAGATGTAAAAGAGACAGACACAAAGGTAGAAAAGGTGAGGTGAGAACTTTGGAAGTAGACGAATATGACATACAGTGGGGTCATGGCAGTTTGAAGTCAGAAGTCAACTGCCGAATAATAGACTTTTTGCCGTATGAGTATACGTTGCCCAGGGTGCACCACGTGGAGGTAAGTCTATCTGTGAGATATCAAACGAAGGTTCTCTGGAGAGACTAACCAAGATATTAACCACTGAATTAGCACGAATAGATTATAACAATCATAGAATCAAAAACGGTGATCATGCTCAAAGTAGAAATTTACATTTGGAGTTTTTTAATCACCAAACGAAATTGTTAAGTGGGCGTCTAAGAGCATTTTTTCTCCTATAAAGACACCAATTTGGAAAAAAGCAATAAAACTAGCAGCAAGTAGCTTTCTGAAAGCAGAAAAGAACATAAGCATATTAACATTTTAAAAAATAACGTTCACATTCGATAATTTTCAAACGCTTACTTATTTTACTACTATTTCAAACTATCGGGATTAATCGCATCAAAATCTCGAGTACATGACGTCTGATATATCAGACAGATTACTACACTAATAAAGTAGATTAACGCTAGGCAACTTGAATAGTAATAGCGACCCCCACATTCTCCAAGTTAGAAGTCACGAGACCAAACCCTATCGGTACACACCTAGTAGAGTGTATAAGCAACTGGCCTAACTAATTCTGGTCAAGAAGAATGTAAATTTCTTTAGGATATCTTAATCCAACAAAAGGTAGGTTCTGTAATCACGTCTGATATAGGGTTTGGGAAGTTTAATAATTGAGAGAGATCAATACAATTCTACTACTTCTGCTTGTGAGGCTTAGAAATTACCTTCCTTTAAAAGCTTGGCGTAATTCTTAGTGCGATTTACAATGCATCTATTTATTAACCACTATAAGATTTCGATCACACACCCCCAAAAAATATGCATCACAGTAAGCGTAGATTCCTCTATATGGCTATTTAAAATCACGGTCTAATAAGTAATATAAACGAAAATAATGCAGTCCAAATGCCCTCCTATAAAACTTAACTGGAATCTACTTATTACATGTACAATACTCTAGAGGCAGACATGAATGTAGCATATGATTTAATCAATGACAACCACTTATTCATTACTACACTTAAGTGCTATAATCCTCTAGCATCAGACAAAAATTTGAATACTTTAAGATCCATTCATCATCTTTATTGTCTCAAGCCGGAGGCGTCAAATTATCGGCATAGTATAAAATTCAGAAATCATCTGTTCAAGCGCAAAGATTATAATGGATCAGAAACAATAACACGCTAGGAGAAACAAGGACCGATCAGATTATAACCAAAAAGAATTTGAACTAAACACTATAGCTGTATTTGAAATTCAAGGATTACAAATCAGAATTGAGACTAACCGATGAAATATAAGGCCCAGCATTTATTACTACTATGATTTGACGAGAAATCAGTGATAAATAAAAAATTATGGATCGTAAATTCACATAAACGATGATTTCTAAGCTCAATACAAAGATAAATGAAAAAATCTATTTTTGGCCAAAATTTATTCTAAATTCACCGTGAATCGCGTGTGACGTTATGAAAGTGAAATTAAAGACAGTCCAACCAGGAAGGAAAATGCGAATGACCTTATGAAGGAAAAGAAAAGTAGAAAGGAGGTCGTTGGGGGAAAAAGTCAACTAGTCAATGAGCGTCATAAAAGGAATCGATGGGAATTCATTTAGAGAAATAGACCTAACCTGATAACGATGGTTCTTGTGGACACTAGCGAAAAAGCATGGTCGACAGAAGGCGCAAGAAGGATCCGTAGAACAGTCCCTTAATTTTGAAAAAAGAAATATAGAATAAAAGAGCAATTTTGATTAGTGATTTCAAATGGAACGTACTTGCAACGGAATGTTGGCTCATTTTCCTCGAATATTCGGCCACATCTTGACTTACAAACTGGGTATAGTGGGGCTAGCTTTTGAGATAAGCGATCAAGAGAATCACATGTATCGTCTGTATCCATGGGTTCTCCAGTGGGGTTACTAATATTTCCAAGAAATGCCTCAAACTCGGCGAAAAGAGTCGAAAGTAAGAGATTATACTGCACCAACTCCGCTTCACTGGATGTCTCGTTGGTGGTTTGAGTTCTGAGTGATGCTGCTTCATCCTCAGCAGTAGCTACTTTAGGGTAGCAGAATGAAATTGCGGCTTTCTTGATGGCTGAGTAGAAAACTTCCTCAAATCCTTTTTGATCTGATGCTCCGAAAGCTTGTTCCAATGACTAAAAAATAGAAAAGGAAGAAAAGGGCATTTACGTGCCTCATTAAACTAGGTTTGTCTATATAAAACGTCATTTAGTAGAATCAATCTACCCGAATATATATTAAAACTCATATACCACGATGTTTAATATCGGTATTGTAAACTATTAACTCTAAACGCCAAAATATCGACGTAAAGGGAATGAAAAAAGCAAAAACGAAAGTATTACAAAGAAAAGAATCTCACAAAAAATTAGGCTTACTTTCAAAACGGAGTCATTCGAGTTCATGGTTGATTAGTAAAACGTCTGTTAACAAATAAATGACCTTGAAGATCATTCATTGGTCATCTTATTTTATTTCTGTTCTTTCTGTTATTATTGTCCATCGTGCCAGCTTTAACAGTTTATTTATGTTTTAAAAATAATTAAAAATGCAATAATATTTGTATTTTAAATTAATAGACAGCTTTTAATGCTATATTTCTGTTTGAAATTAATGGAAAGATTTTTCACTCCTGAAATATTAAAATTAATCAGATTTCCCACTTTCTTCATTTGATTATCTAACATGTTCTATAAATACGCCATATCATATTTAAATCACGTCAAAGCCAATAAGATTGCTGACGCACTTGCTAAGAAGGAGACTACAATTTCGCAAGGCATGGACCGGCCGATGTCTTTTCTCACAATCAAGATCCTAATCAGGATAGAATTCAAGACCTCAAGGTGCAACGAACTTAAAGCTGGAACAAAGGAGAAGCAGTGGACAGTGGCATTCTCCGACATATCCGACCGGCCAAGAATCGAAGCCATTGCTGAGTTTAGACTAGGTAGCACCGTTGATGAGTTTAGACTACGTACCGAACACGATTGCCTATAAACACCTTCACAGATTGGGAGTATACACTCAACTCACATGTACACCTTCACAGATTGGGAGTATACACTCAACCCACATGGACCTTCACAGATTGGGAGTATACACTCAACCCACATGCCCCCTTCACAGATTGGGAGTATACACTCAACCCATATGCCCTTTCACAGACTGGGAGTATACACTCAACCCACATGCCCTCTGGATTGGGAGTATACACTCAACCCACATGCCCCCTATGTAGCCTGGGAGTATACACTCAACCCACATGCCCTCTATGTAACCTAACGATTGCTTGGCAAAACACCTTCACAGATTGGGAGTATACGTTGGCAAAACACCTTCACAGATTAGGAGTATACACTCAACTCACATACCCCATATGCAAACTAGAGAAGGAAATGAAGAAGGCCCACCTGATTCGGTGTCGATCCCTAAAGGCAACGACGGAAAGTCAGAGATACTGGGAAGCAAGAAGACAGCTAATGGACTTCTATTAATTAACTACTATAGATGTAACCCCCCCCCCATCC